CAAATGCCCTCATTGCATTCATCCTCCCTGTCTGCTTTGCTTTTTGCATGGAGGATCCTCTCTCGTGGACACACAAGCTTTAATTGCATGCAGAACATGGGCAAACAGCAATCTCAGAGAAGGCAGGCAATCTAGCTGCCAGATCATGCCCCTGCAGCTTAGAAGCCCTATGCAGAATGGGCACGGCAGTGTTTCAAAGGCTCACATGTCCCTGTCGCTGCATGACAACTACATTCCCACTACAAACAGCTGGATCTGGCACAGAATTGACTTCAGTTTCTGAGGTTTCCTTTAGTGCCTCTACCAGGGCAACCCTCCTATGCTCAAGCCTAAAAACTTGATCTGGTGTGCAGGCTCCTGTAAGCCACATCTCAGCTCCAGCACATCGGAGAGTCTCAGTGGGCAAAGTGCTCGTGCCTTGGAGAACTCACAAAAGCTCCTGAGCGGGGCCAAAGGCTGCCTGTCAAATCGCTCTCCCTGTCTGCAACCTCAAAACCCTTACAAGCTCTTGAGCAGTTGCCCAGCATGCAATTATCAGCACAAAAGGAGGCTCTCCAGCGCCATGCTGACTACCAATGCTGTGCTATTATGTGAGTCAGCAGCAGGTAACACAACTGTCACGTCCTTGTGCTGTAAGAAAGCCTGCTCAGATGGAGGTGCATTAAACTTTAAGCAGTGGCTATGGGTAGAACAGGTCTGATGTAATTCTGGCTGTGTGACCAAGCCCAGCCCATGGAGGACACTGCTAAATAATCGCGTTAATGAAATGTCTTGAAACTTGAGGTGTCCAGAAGCACAAACAACAGAACCTGTAGCCACAAACTGCTCCTTACTTGTGAGAGATGATAGTGGGGGGAAGCTGCTTGTGATCCCCAGCCAGGATGCACTTGGGAGCTTTCAGCAGAGGTATCCAGCAGCTGGCTTCCACGGCCTGTGCACACTCGTCTATCACCACAAGATCAAAGTGATCTTCAGGAAGCAGCTTCAGGGGACCATCCGAGGAAGCACCTAGTGAAAGGACAAGGTGCACAGCTTAGCAGGGAAGAACAGAAGAGCAAACAACACATTTTTAAAGCAAAGCCTACATGCTTTAATTGTGATTGAGGGAGGTAGAATGATGTTTCTCTGCAGAGATTTAGAGATTCAGCTCTGCAGTCGATGACAAATAAATATACATTTACATGTATGTGTCAGAGTTGTTTTTGCCAATTTCTGTTTGTCCTTTTTTGCCCTGGCATCTGGGGCCAAAAGCTTCCAAAGCATCTTTGAAAACAGCAGTGAAACACAGCTGATAAACAGAACAATATGCTCAAATACTTCACCAGAGCAAAAGTAGAGCAAAAGCAGTAATGAACACCCACTTTCCTTCTGCCCTCAAATGCAAACAAAAGTTCTCACCAACCAGAACTGGAAGGATGACAGATTTGAGATTGCTTAGTATACTGAGGGATACCCCAAAGGGGAAAGATCAATTGAGACCCAGACTCCTCAACCCTGCTGACCCTGGCTATGCTCCCCTGTCTTTCCTCATGAGAGGAGGAGAAGGAAAACACAAGAGACTGTAGTCAGCCAGGGCATGAGCTGTTTTTTATGTCAGACATTCATTTTGTATTGTCAACCACATAACCCTCACCCGGGTCCTGCTATAATCCAGACATGAAACGATATTGATCCGTGCATCAATCAGAACAGTGAATTTCCCAGGCATCAAAATACCACTGCAATTCAAAAGAAAAAGAAGATGCAAAAGGAGGAAAGAATGATGAAGAAGCCAGGGTGCTAGACAAGGAGCTTTTAGTCACAGCGTTTACAGAAATGTTTTTCAAAAGCTCCTGTGCTATTGCAATGTAGCACTGAAAGCAACTGATTAGGGAACGATTTTGCTTTGACACTGCAAACCCTGCTGCCTCAATGGCTCTGCATCACATCTGATGTTACAGTTTGTCAACTGAGATGCTGTGTTTTCCTTAAAAAAATAAAACAGAATCCAGCCTATGTCAGTCCACGCTAATAACAAGGGGCATACAGTTGGAACTTGACTTTTGCAGTTTTACCACGCTGCAGGTGGAAGGAAAAGAAAAATAACCAGAAAGGTTCTGTCTAAAACTGTCCCTATGTGGTGTGCAGCTGTGCAGATGGTTTCCTTCCCCTCCAGTGTTGCAGCTCAACTTATCGAACTCCCATTAACTAAAGGTCACTGCTGTCCCTCTGTGTTGCCATGATTAAATTCCCCCTCCGCTGAACCTAGCAACAGAGCAGTTTGGCTTGCATAAATAATTCCCATCAAACTAGATGGTATGAGACAAATACCAAGATTACTTAACCGAGGAAAAGAAAGTTCAAACCCTTTGTTTTTCCATTGCCTTTCACTGAAACAGAATTGCATAGACCTCCAAACAGGCTAGCAAGCCCCAGGAGATAATCAAATCTGATCATTGCAATGCCTAGCACAAAATAACAGTTTTATTGAAAAAAAGAAAGCTTCCCCCATTTTTTTTTTACACGAAGCTACAAGAAGTGAGAGCTCAATTCCCAGCAAATAATTACTGGAAGGAATTTTCTTCCATTTTACCTTCATGTTAGTAACTTGTGAATACCCCATGAGGTTCTTTTTTATAACCTAAAATTACTGATGTTTTCCTTCAGCGAGTAATCTCTGAGCAACCAAATTTGAAGATTATAAGTGGGCTCTGGAGCATTACACATCTGATCTAGAAAAGCACTTTAGCATGTGTTAAATTTAAACACTGATGTTTCCCTTTGATTTCAAGGGATTTTGTAGATGTGCCTACATGTGCTGCCTGACCAACACCTGGAACAGTTCCCTAAATCACATGTGGTTTATTCCACTTGGGTGATTTACAAAACTAACCAAACACACAGACTGAGACCAGGCTACAGAAACACGTGTTGTATTTCATCAGCCATGGAAATTATCCAAGCAGGAAAGCAACTCCATGTGACTTATGAAATCAATTAGCAGACTGCACACTTCCAATAGCCCTTGTTTACTCGCTAGAAGCTGTGCTCCTACTCAGAACTGACAGAGATGCGCCACGCTGGCTCCCACCAAAGGCTCTTCTAAGTTCCATACTCTAGATCCACGAGGTGGTCTACACCTTCTCTTCATTGCAGAGTGGAACAATGTGCCAGGGTGTAAGCAGCGGGGATCCCACTGGGGAGGGGTTTGACAGCATGCAGCAAACTTGACCGAACTCCCAGGAGCAGGAAATCTAAGCCTCCCTCCTATCCTGGCCGGATGCAGCATTGCATGGCACATGGTTTGTGTCAGTCTTGCCAAGTGAGGCACAATATTGCAAACAAAGAGGATCTTGCACCTGTATTTGTAGCAAGGACAACACTGGCACGAGTAAGGGCTGCAGTCATGGCAGTTTCTTCTCGTTGCTTCAGCTCCTTTTTCAGTGCCTTAATCTCACTGAGAAAATGGCTCCGTTCGCCCTTGTCTTGGGCCTTTTTGGTTTTTGCCTGTAAAATAAAAAAATCCAGATAGACCAGACAGGGTTATGTTCAGCTTCTCAGATGACCAAAGCAGTCAAATTCAACACGATTCCTCTATGTACACCATGGTCACTGGCTTATCAGAATCAGCTCCATAAAACTTTGGTTTCTCTTCCCTCTCCCTGCCAGCAAGCCCCTTCTGCAATCAGCACTGCCTGAAACATAACAAGGATGTCTGTCTGTGCAAAAGATGAACTGGATCAATACAACCCCAGGCTCGGTGCGTGGAACAGCAAAATGAGAACATCACTCACCGCCTATCCGACCATCTGGGAGCATCAGCACTAGCACCATCACTCATGCTCCAGACAGTGATTTCCCAAACTTAGCCGGCCCATACTTAAAAACCCTCTTAAAAACTTCCTTAATTACGAGCATAAAGGATTGTTAAAGAGTAACTCCCTGACCTTAGATCCTCTGTTCAGCCCTCCTGCTCTGCCCTGTACTTTCCCTGTGCCCCGAAGATCAGCAGGTCAGATGCTTGAGTCCAGCCAACAGCCAACTCTGTGCATAAGCAGAAGCACCTTAGCACAAGGAGGGGTGTAATATGTAGTGGTGTTTAGGCTTGCTGGGAAGAGTTCATGCCTTTACTGGGTGAGGAACATCACAAATGCCCTTCCAGTCTCAGCCTGCTCCCTTGCTCAGGGGAAGCAGGGACCCTTGGGCTCCAAGTGCCTCGAAGCAGGAGGGCTCCCTGCACCATGGCCAGCCACAGCAGCAGCTCTGCATTTTTAAAGAGGCGTCTCTGAGTTGTTGTAAATGATTCACAGCAATATCTAGACAGGCTCGTGGCTTTTTTTAGCAACGCCTATTAAATATATCTAAAACATCAACTCATCACCACTGGTTGCTGGCGCTTCCCCGGCTGCAGGCCGGCAGCTACGAGACAATGGACAAGCTGTTGCTCACTGCAGGTCACCTTGAGAAAGCTGCCCATGCTCTCAAGCTGAAATTTGGGCTGTTTCCTTGGAGGGAAGGCTGATGACACGAGAAACCTGAAAAGGCTACAAACATGGGCTTTCAAAAGGCAGCCAAGCCAAGTAAGAGTTGATGGTTCCTATAGCCATCTGCTGCATGGATGGGTTGTCTGGTGTGTAAGGCCATACCACAGCTCATACCACAGCACTTCCCCTAGGAACATTTCCCCTTGTGTCTCTCTCATCTCCCCTGCCACCTGTTTTTGTTAAGCTTCTAGGTATTTAATATCTGCGAGGCCTCTATATGTCTGTCAAACATAGTCAAATAGGTGGATGGGTTTGGAAGTTACAGGGGAGGGATCACACAGGAGGGATCACCTTTTCCTGAGCTAAAAGGACAGAAGATCTTTTCCTTGGCCTAAAGGGAGAGAGTGAGTGCTGTTACTGGTACTCGTTTAGTTGAAGGAACAAAACAGACTAGTGTCAACTTCCCCTCCGCCTGAAACATGGGAAAATTAGAGAGCAAAATTGCTGGTGCCAGTACTGCAAGTTTCATGTCTGTTTTGCAAAAAAAAAAAAAAAAAAGATCTAGTTACTGAATTAACAACAGCGACTGGCTGATGACATTAAGACCCAAACATCTGGCTGAATGTCAAATCTGAAAGCAGCTGAGGGAGCAGGGAGCCCAGCCCAGCCCTAACAGCACAGTCAGCCCCAAGGATATTGATTGGCACAGAGCCCACTCACTCCTCATTAGGGCTTCATGGGTGCCAGCAGGATCTAGTTACCCTAATCTGCCTTGTTTGGGTCCCCACCCATGTGCCTTTTACCCCTGGGTCTGGGAACTGCATTTAAGGCCAGACCTTGGCTCCTTTATCCTTTTATGAACCCTGTAGGGGGGCTTGCATCAAACTCAGTTGGGTTCTGCTTTTTTCCTAGGCTGTCTGCAGCCTTGTTTCATTGCTTGTTTGGTGATGTGGATGGATAGCTGACCTTTTTTTGAAGTTCCTGGACCTATCTGCCTTTCTCGCTTGGGTGCCATGGGATTGCACTATTGTTGGTGCAAACAAGACCCAGAAGATGATGTCCTGGAAAGCTCTCAGCCTAAACAGGTGTGTGTGGAGGGGGGGCAGGAATTGGGTAGAAAAATGTGTGCAAAGAACATGGATTTTCAATTACTAGTCCTTCTATGACTGAAGGTAGTGGTAAAGGGGAGAGTGAAGAATCAAAATAGAAGTGAATGAAGGAAGAAATAATTAAAAGGGCAATTAGGGGCCAGTGAGAGGGAGGCCAGGACCTCAGAGGTGAGCTCTCTGCAGCCCAGAGGGAGTAAGGGAGGTAACAGGAGTTGCACTCAATGATCCTTATGGGTCCCTTCCAACTCAGGATATTCTATGATAAGAAGTCAGGTGCATCTTTTGTGAAAGAGCTGGTCATGGGCATCTCAAAGCACTGCCATGCGAGCTGAATTGCAGCAGTATGTTAGACAGTGTTTTTTCTCTGGTGTTATGAAGTGGGACAAGCTCTGGTGGCTAGTCCATGTCTCCCATCCCCATGTACCCTTTCCTCTAGGGAGAAAGCAGATGGATATCTTAGTACTAAAGACTCTGCTTTTCTGCTTTCTTCCATTTTCTCCCACTTTTCCCAGGTGAAATGTCTTCCCACCTTTCAAAGTGCTTCCCAAGAAGAGGGCAGGGCAAAAAATAAGCCATTAGTGAGGAAGATGCAAAATATATTCAGTAAAAAAGACTTGGTATCTAGCTGTGATTACAACTGGGTCCCGCATCAGGGGGAAAAAATGAAGCTGCTGCCACAGCAGTAGTTGCAGACTGATGTTCATGGTGCTGAACTCAACATTCAGCCTGCATCATTCAAAAAAGTAAATGCTGTGGTGCCCTAACAAAGGGCATGGCAGTGTACTTGGGCAAGTATGATGCAACGTGCAGGGGTATGAAGATGCTTTCCTGTGTCTTCTACTGAGATAGAGGAGATCTTGCCTAGGCTGGACACATCTGCAGAATAGCTTTTGGACAATGCAGTCACCAGAAGGGGGAGAAAAAAAGTTCTAATTATCATCAAAATCTATTATCTCAAATAGAAGAGCTACTCAGTAATTAAGTTTAAAAAATTAAGTTGTGAAAAGAAATGAAGGATGCATTTTTATGGTGTACTCTGCTTTCTACTTGAGGTGGCTGAGAGTGGGAGGGAGTGTTAGGACAGCCAGATATCTCATTAGGAAGTGAATTAATGATGTGAATGTTTCCCTTCCCCTCTGGTGAAGAGGACTGCATGAACAATGCCAGACAGAAAATCTGGAGAGCAGGGCACTGCAGCATCTCCCCCCTGCACAGCAGTAATGACTATGATTTTTCTCTCTTCAGAGAGGAATTTGTCTAGGAGGGGTTTTGCCCTCAGCTGCCTCTACAGCAGATGGAGGATGAGTAGTGCTGGCAAGTGTATTTGGCTCAGGCATACCCTGGTAGAGAGGCTGTCTCTCTCTGTAAGATGCTGCTTCAGGCTGGAAGCTTCCCCCATTTCTGATGACCAGGCTTGCACCCCAATTCCTCTTCTCCAAGTTAAATGATCTCCAGGCAGAGGGATGAATGCAGGCTATGTACACCTCCAGCTGTCACTGTGAGACCTCTCCACTATGCTTTTTTTAACCTTTCCCCTCTCCTAAAGTGACCTTCTGCTGATTCCCTCCACATGAAGAGGCCTGTGGTTCAGAGCTAGTCACTGGGACTTGCTTCCAGCCATTCTTCATGGGGCAACCCACAGCACCTGCCTAAAGTCATTGCTTTCCTTGGAAGGTGATGGATACCCTTAAGTATCCAAGAAGTGGTGGAATTACTCCTCACTTAGAGTAACTTGGCTAACAGATTGGGTGCTGCTAACAGAGCTGGCAGTGCAGGTTACCCACGTGGGGCCTGTTGCAGGGACACGTACGAAGGCCTGGTCAATGTCCTTCCTGATATCTGCCACGATCTGAGCGCTGTCGCTGCGGGCCAGCACCGCGTCCAAGGAATGCCGCTGGATGGGCTCCAGCAGGCGAGCAGGGTGCCCCAGCCGTAGGATGTGGGCTTTGTAGCCAGCCAGCCTTTCCACCAGGTTATCCACTGCGATGTTGGAAGGGGCACAGCACAGGACCTGTGAGGGGAGAAAGCAAGTGCTTGTCATTGCTGAGTGTGAGACTACCAAGGCCAGCAAGCACTGGAGCAGTGGGGTCTGAGCAACAGGAGGGCACTCAGCAGAGCAGAGAGGAGGATATCAGCTGTTAGGAATAAATCACTGACATCTCTATAGCCTCCAGACACCAAAGACAACTCTCAAATTCTCTTCCTGCTTTCAAGCACCAGGGCAGGATCTTCTATAGTTAGCAAACCTGAGCTCTGAAGCTTCTATTTGCACCTCATTTCAGCTGGTGGAAACTGCCCAGCCTGTGCAAGTCAAGCCAGGCTCTACTGTGTAACACAGCTGCTGCTGGATCTGCTCCAGCTGCCATGAACCCCAGTGACTTTGCAAAACAAATCAGCATGCTTACTGCCACTACAGTCCTGTCACTGATTACTCACTTTCAGGCCTTGCTGCACAGCTTGCAGGATGATCTCTACTATTGTTGTGGTCTTCCCTGTGCCAGGTGGTCCATGGACGATGGCAAGCTCCCTCTGTGCCAGTGAGAAGGAGACGGCCTCCCTCTGTGATGTGTCCAGCGAGTCATTGTAAAACTTTAAAGGCTCTGGGGAGACTAGCAAGAGATTTCTCAGCCCTAACTTGGGTTCTTGCTGAGAAATAAATCCATGAATATAAACCAGATGCTCCCAGTGGCTGGGCCATGTCTATTAGATAATGAGAGTAACTTGACTGGGGAGTGAGGCATGCTGTTTCCCACCTAGGTGGCTGAGAGACCACAAACTGGTAAAAGTAAGGATTTTTGTGCTTCTAGAATAAACAGGCTACCTGTGCTACATTAGCCTCTCCCCCTCACCTGGTGACATTTCCAAAGGAGCAAGCATTCAGGTGTGAATACAGTTAGTCTATATATGGACACTTTACAGTGTTTGAAGAGGCATCTGCTTGCCATAATAAAAAAACATTTAGGATGGGGATGGTGCTTTGGGGATGTTTTGGAGGTGAGCCAGCATATTTAGTAAGCATTCAGTGAAAAGAGGGAAGAAAATCATAGAATGGCTTGGGTTGGAAGGGACCTTAAAGATCATCCAGTTCTAATCCCCCTGCCAGGGGCAGGGATGCCACCCACCAGATCAGGTTGTCCAGGGCCTCATCCAGCCTGGTTCTGAACATCTCCAGGGATGGGGCATCCACAGCTTCCCTGGGCAGCCTGTGCCAGTGCCTCGCTGCCCTCTTAGTGAAGAATTTTCCTGCTAACCTTTGAAATCTCCTATCTTCTAGTTTAAAACCTTTCCCCCTTGTCCTGTCATTATCTGTATGAGCAAAATGTTGTGCTTTTTTTTTTTTATAAGCCACCTTTAAGTATTGAAAAGCTGCAATGAGGTCTCCCTGGAGCCTTCTCCAGGCTGAAGATCCCCAGCTTTCTCAGCCTTTCTCCATAGGAGAGGTGCTCCAGCCCTCTGAGCATCTTTGTGGCCAGAGCAGAGTGAGACAATCCCCTCCCTGCCCTGCTGCCACCCCTCTGGTGATGCAGCCCAGGAAAATGATAAAAGCAGCCTGTATAAATGATGAGAACTGTTAGTTTGGATTTTAATCATCAGAAAGGAGAGAAGAGTGTTTAAATTGTGTTATAAGAGGATTGGTTTCACTGCAGAAGATAGAATTCTCACAAGCCACTCTTTACCTCCCAGATTTATCTAATTTAAACCCATTATTTATTCTCATCCCACTTAATCCTGCTGCTAATCTCCTTCTTCATTATGGAAGTTAATTACAGCAGAGATGATGACTCATCTGAGGTTTACCGAAAATAATGTTCCCACGAAAGCTTATATAAGACACATCTCTGGGCATCATTCCCTGCAGGGCATCATCAGTTTTATCTCTACCTTTGCATTAAGGTAGGGATGCATCAAAGGCATAAAAGTTTCCTCTGGCCTCAGACAAGTGAACTTCTGTGCAACTCCCAGGCAACCCATGGCACTGACTTTTGAAGCAGCACAAGCAAGTGAGGCACCCAGGTTAAACAAAGAGCACAGTGAGGTTAAAAAGGCTTGGTAGGGAAGTAGTGGTGATTTTTCCTACTAGCCTACCTCTTGCTTTGTTTATTTTTGAGTTAGTATGGCAGTGACTAAGAACAGCAAGCTTCCATGGGCCAGGGAAAAAGAACAGCTTAAAAACTGAAAGCCACTTCCCACAACGAGGAACAAGTCAGGGTGGAGGAGTCATTGATATTTCCTTGCTCAAAGAATGAGATCAGAAACAGTCTTCTCCACACACATGCACACCCTCTTCCCTTTTAATCACATGCTGCCAAGAGTTGCTGTGGGGGCAGGCTGGGAAATGTGCCTCTCTTCTGGGCTGGGCTCATCAGCAAAGTTTGAGGAGGAGGACAGAGCCTCTTAAGAGGCTCCTCTGTTTTTCCATTTATCAGCTGGGCTCTGAGCAGGCTCACCTGAAGAAATGCTGCTTATCTACTCCAGCAGGATTGGCCTGAGTCCTCTCTAAAAGCAATCAGTTTAGGATTTGCACAGATAGTCCCAAAAGAGGGCTATTAATGCCAAAAACTTGCAGGAACCAAGGCCCTTTTCTGCACAGTACCAGCAGTTCAGGGAGCAGCAGTGGGCTGGAAGGTGATGTTCAAGTCCAGGGCAGGGATCTTTGTTCCCATCTGTGTTGGGTGCATACCTATGAAGGAACAGTCTCTCCAGGGAGGAAGAAATCCAGTTTTCTAGAGCTGGAGGGTTCTTGCACTTCACTGTACCTTCCAAGGTATGCTCCTCACCTCCTGTGTGTATGGGTACAGAGAACAAGCCAGATCCCACATAGTCAGCACCTCTGCAGCCAAACAGTGCTAGACAAAACCCAGGTGGGTAACTCAGCCTGGAACAGGGAACTTCCCCTGCTCTCTTCCTTAGCTATTTGTCAGCTGAGCTTGTCCACATTGCTTAGTTTTCCTCATAGATTTCAGGGCCCTCTTCCTGGCCTCTGTGTTGACAGGAGGCTCACAGCAGAGGGACAAGGAGCATTTAAGGTTTTCAAGTGACACAGCACAAGCCCAATGCATGGGGCAAGGAGCAGAGGAAACTTTAGTATAAATGCCTGGTGTTTCCCCAGTCCTTTGTCTGCTGGGTCAACTTTTTACTGCTTGCACCCCTACCTTTTAAATAGGCTTTTTTCTTCCTTCTTTCTCTTTTCAAGTATCTTCTTAGTGCAATAAGCAGAATTAGATATAAGCAATGCCTTTTGCACTCCACGTGGCCAGGGAAGCCAGCACTGGCTGACTGTATCTAGACCCAGATTAATATCCCCTCACTTTTTCTTGACCTGCTCCAGAATTAACAGCTACCAGCTCTCTCATATCTGTACTGGGTTAGGCCTGCAACAGGGAGTTATCTGTAAGAAAAGAGATCGTGTGCACCCAGCCTGGCTGGCCCTGAGGCGCACAGCAAGCAGAGAAATGCTGGCCTCTGCTGGCTAGCAAAGCCTCTCTGTACATCCACCACAATGTACAGGTGCAGGAATCCCTGCATATGTGCTTTGAGACAGCAGCTGTGAGCAGGGAAGGCTTTCTTATAGGAGGCTTCCAGTAGCAAAGCCCTAAATACTCTGGGCCACAGGTGCAGGTTAAAGTGGAGGAGAGCCAAGCAAAGTATTTCTCATGGATGGGCTTCTGGATTTTGTTTTCCATCAAGTCTGGTGAACAGAAACCCTGTTCTGCTCCAAGTTTGCTTTTTGGTAAGCCTGTTTTTCTGCTTGGTACTTTTCTGGAGGTAACAAGATAAGGGTTGAAATGTTTTGTTGTGGGGAGCAGTCCCATTCTTAGCTGCAGGTCATGTCTACCCATAGGTTTTACTTTCATATGCTCTATGGGTCATCTTTCCTGAAGCCTGTCTAGTGTTTTTGTGTTACTCCAAAATATGTATTCAGAGTTTTTAATGTTTTGCAAGGACTTGGACTTCATTATACAGCTCAAGAGGACAGATAATAGCACAGATTGAGGGCCCACCTTCAGCAAATACAATCCTTCTGATTGCACTAGCCATACACTCTCACGTAAGGGGCTTGTGAGAGTGCCCTGGCATTCTGTGTTATCTCCAAGAGCACTGCAGCTTTTCCTTCATGCAGAAGAGACAGCTTCCAACATATCCCCACCACTTAGCATCAGACAGGGAGCCACCAGCTTCCTGAATTGAACCTGAAGCCCCTAGCTGCCTCTTACAGTTCAGATCTCCAATCATACTCCTGGCTAGATGCTAAAGGGCAACCCAAGCATCTCACAGTAGCAGTGGGGTGAGATCTGTGAGACTGTCTGTTGCCTGTAAAGATCATGGGGTGAGAAGGCTGGTACAGATTAATTTTAGGCTTCTCAGGGTCAAAAGCCTGGCATCTTTCTCCTGAGTTACTGACAACCATCTTATACAAGCTCGATCCCCAAACAAACATGCTCCAGAGCCATTTTTCCAGTGGGAGTCATGCCTACACCCATTACTACCGGGAAGGACTCATCCCCAGGTAGTGAGCAGGATTTTCCACATATGGTGGGAAACAGCTGCATGCAAATTAGCAGCTCTGGAAGTCATCAGCAGTTGGGTAAAAAGGCATTAATTTGTTTTTTGTCATTATTACCCTTCTGTGCATACTGGTGCTCTTTTAGCAGGCATATATCATGCACTGGTCAGATGCCAGCAGCCATTAACTACTTTAAAAACATGTTTCAATTGGCTTTATCTGACTCCTTGTCCATCTAATCAGTCAGTGCCTGGATTTAGATACCCTCCTGGGATGCCACAGGCTTTAATATAGATCCTCCAGGCACAGCGTTTGGCAGCACACTCTGCCATAATAAGGCAGCTGTGATCCATTCATGAGTAAATCACAACACAGGAGAGTAAAACAAAAACAACAAACAAGCATCTCGAAATTATTTACCAGATAGGCCATAATATGCCACCAGGCTGGTGCAACTCTATTAGAGTATGCCTTAAAGAAAGCCCTTTATGACCAACCTTTTTGAAAAAAGGCTGCTTTTCCCTCCAGGCTGAGAGGCTCCATGTCACTAAACAGCAGAAAGCACCAACAAAGCACAGGATGGCATTAGTACTCTGCCAAGCTTTGCTGCAGGAATGGAGAACTACAAAGCAGCTGACAAATTTCAAACCAAGCTGGCATGAAGTCCCTACGTGTTTTATGAAATGGACAGTGGTGTTAGACCTCTTATAACCCAGCTAAGAGACCCAAGACTCCTATCCTTGAGAAATTAATTTTCTAATCTACTCCCCACCATCACATGATATAAAAAAAATTAGAACATTCTTCAATATCTATCTGGGCATAGAGCTGGGTGCTTATTCTCTCCAGTGACCCTTCTACTTCTCAATTTCCTTGTAATTTGGTTTATATCCTGTCAGAGAAGACAATGACAAAGGTTGTCCCTCTGGGCACAGACCTTATCTACTCTTTTCCTAGACTAGTGTCAGTTTTAGTTTTTCCTTGGGATGGGTATTTATATGGTCTTATTCCTGCTGCTGACTTTCAGAGCTTTTGATTGAAGCAGAGTTTAAATTGCATCCCGGAGTGGTGTTAACATAGATCATAGAAGGCTTGGATTGGAAGGGATCTTAAAGATCACCTAATTCCAACCCCCCTGCCAGGGAACCCACTAGATCAGGTTCCTCAGGGCCCCATCCTACCTGGCCTGTATAGACATCCACGTTCTATGAGCTGTACAAGACTTATTAACTGTGGG